TTGATTCGACCTTAGCTAATTTAATTGCTTTTATAGGCGCTAAACCCCATGTTGATGAACTTGGAGCTCGAATGAGATGTGTCGGATAATTATTTAGGTAATCGATAGCTTCTGGCAAATACTTAACCCACTCTCTTATTAATTTATGGTTCGAAGTTATTATACTTTCGACAGCATATTGAATCTTGTAAAGCATCTCTGCTAAAGTTTTATTAAATCTCTCTACAATTGCTATACCATGATGGGAATACGGACTGATAACTTGAATTACTACACCGTGTTCTTTAATTAGTTAGCTTGTCTGTCCTGCCCATTCTTTACCATTATCACATTGTAAAAGTGTCGGGTATGTAAGAGGGTTATTGGGATTATCATAAATTTTTCTGAATGCTTTAGCAACCTCTGAACTTTTCTTCAATATGAGAGAAATACTCGCTTTGAACCTGCTAGCCACATCTATAATTTGTAATACTGCTTTCCATGTCTTCCCCTTATATTTATCATGTGTAAGAAATAAGAGGTTGCATTGATGTACACAATTTGGTTTCTGAATTTTACCATAACTAACCTGTGGTGTATCTTTTGGCGATGGAGCATATTTTTGCCATTCATTCTGGTTTGTAAGCCACTCACATACCTTTTTATATGGGAACTGATATCCCTTCGCTTTAAAATTTTTTTATAGTTTTCGAGAGTTAGAATAATACCCATGGGCTGATAGAATAATAATCAACAAACTAGGGCCAATTCCTCATCGGTACCAATTATGATACTTGGTTGGTTCATTTTTAATACATTTTACTATATCAATAAATTATTATTTGGCAAAGTTTCTGGAAAAGTTGATATATTATAGGCTTGTATAATGTCATCAAATACAGTAGCGTTCCCACCTAGTGAAACAATCAAAAAACTCGTAAGTGCTTTATCAGCAATACAAAATCAGGTTTGCAAATTACAACAGGATCTAAGCTTAAAAGAGAATTATATTAAATATCTTGAAAAAAAAAGTTTGGTTCGAGATGAAGAACTAGGTCTATTGCTCTTAGAAAAGCAAAATATAAGCAATAGGATTTTGGTCATTTATTACGATGGCTACATGGAAACCAAAAGTAAA